GGGGGGGGGGGGGTACTTGTCCCCCCAGCGGCCTGTCAGCAACCGGGATGGGGGGTGTTCCCCCTGCGGCCAATCCCACCGACCTGCAAGTGGCAGCAGCGTGCCGCTGGCACTTCCGGATGAGTACAATCGGCTGTGCGGGAACCATGGGGATCGCTTCTCTTGGCACCCTACTCCCCAGCCGGTGCTCTCAGGGTGGGCACCAGCATGCTCACCTGCTCCCCCACCTGAGAATGCTGGCTATCAGGGGGTGCACCAGCGCTGTCAGGGGGTGCACCCCCTATGTGTCACCACTGTAGAGAGCCATGCCCCCTGCTGCAGAGGAAGGCAAAGTCCCCCACACAGTCTATACCAATCTGACCATGGGGTAAAATTCCTTCCACTCACCCCAAATATGGTGATCAGTCTGACCCTGAGCAGAGGGGAACACTCTCTACCCACGAATTTGGAGTTTTAAGTCACAGCAAGAGCATTGGCACACCCCAGTCAAAATCCCCAGCCTCGGCTGCAGTCAACACCCTGTGCCTTTCAGGAAGGCTATAAAACAAAAGCAAAAAAGCCTCCTGACATGTAGCAGAAAGCTTGGGACGGACGGGGGAATTCCCTCCCAGCTGGGTGTGGCAACCAGCAAAACTCAGAAGCACAGGAAATACCCATAGTAGAACATGGGCATAGCTACACATGCATCATCCCTGACCAGTGGCTGTCCAACATCTTCTTGAACACCGTCAGTGCTGGAGAGTCCACAGCTTCCCTAGGCAGTCTGTTTCACTGCCTCACTGTTCTAACAGGGAATATTTTTTTCATGATATCCAGTCTAACTCTGCTTTGCTGCAACTTTAAGCCATTTGTCCAGGTTAATAGTAAAGAGGCAGATTTTGTTCTTACATATGTGGTTTCAGTGTCGGTACTCTGGGTTTGTACTGGTGGGGCTGAGAGCGTACTTTGGCCTCAGGTATTTTCTGTAGTTCATGAATGTTGTGCTTGGGGACCTGGTTGCCACTGGTTCATGTTGGAGCTGGGAAGTCCTGTTTTGATGGGGCTGAGTGCATTATACTGGTAGGCTGAAGAGACCTAGAAATATCCTTGAAGACCATGGCAATGCCAGGATGCAAGAGGACAATATAGAACCACTTTGTTCTGTCAGTGTTGTGCTGTGCAGGCTACGGCACTGCAGAGCCACATATTTCTCTCACAAGAAGCCTTTGAAGGATAGAAACCAGAGATGGGCTCATGACCACCGACTCTAACCTGCTGTACCTGAACTCTGTGTACCTGCAAGGAAGGTCAAAATCAAAATCTGGCACCCAGCCTTGAAAAGGGTTGGTGTAGACCAAATATATGGAGAGATTAAAGTGGGACTTGTGATTTGGCATGCCATGGTTATAGAGCAGCCATGAGCAGCCAGGCTGGGCATGACCGCTCATTGCCACCAGTTGAACACAGTCTACTTGCCACTTACAATCCTGAGAGACGTCATAGAAGCCTTAGAATGACATGATGCATGGGCACATCCAGGAATTTTAAAAACGGGGTGTTGAAGCAGTGACCCTTGGGGGTGGCATTCTCCCACTCAGACTTTTCCCCTCACTGTGGTAGGCAGACTACACCACAGAAACAGTAGCAAGGGACTTTTTTTCAGTCTCCAAAGCCTATTAGTATTCCCTCGCCCCTGGTTTCAGCACCCTTCCCCTTCCTCTTCCTGCTCAGCAGCACCTCCCTTCCCATTACCCTGTCACCCTCTCTACTTAAGTCCAATGCTAACCTTCCTTCTGTACAGAGGGAAGAGGTGGGGTGGAGTGATGGCTCTGGGAGTCATCATCAGCCTTGAGATGGCAAGTGAAACCCTGAGAGCAAAAAGGATCCTATTTGTTGATCTTAAAACCTATTTAAATAGTCTGGCTTGCTGTTTGTCAGGCACTGGGTAAGCATTCATTTTAGTAAAGGTTCTCACAACTTCATCATAGTAAAGGTTCTTACAAGTGGTGTATTTTCCCTTGCCTGACAAAGGGACTTTTGAATAGAAACCGAGTGCAACAACAACAAACCCATTAAGCAGTCAGTCACCAGCACCTCTGATCTTTGCAGCAAAGGGACTTCTCTAGTGATGCAGATAAAGGGTGAGCAGCCTCCTCTGTCTTCATGCACAAACAGCAATCACCATTACAACCCCAAAGCAAGGCAGGAAGTAGTGGAAAGCTTTGGAAAAGTCTGGGGCTGCTGGGCAGGGAGACTGTGGAATTCCAGTCTTTCACAGCTCTGGGCAGGGATGCTAAAATCTTGCCCAGCCCTCATGGCAGACTTGGTGTTCTCCAGCAAGGCTTGCAAAAAGCAGCTCAAGTTGGAAAATTTACATTCCTGTCATTTGCAACCATGCCCTGCTCCCTCTCTCTTGTATCTCTCCAATTGTGTTGCTATTTAACACACATGGGGATTGAGCAAGGACTGGAGTCTCAGTTCCACCGGAAATTCTGCAATTTGGAAACGTGCTTTTGTTCTGAATCAGAAAATTAGGGTTGGAAAGTACCTCAGGAGGTCCTCTAGTTCAACCACCGGCTCAAAGCAGGACAGTCCTCAACAAGATCATCCCAGCCAAGGCTTTGTTGAGCCAGGCCTTAAAAATCTCCAAGGATGGAGATTCTACCACCTCCCTAGGTACCCAGTTCCAGTGCTTCACCATCTTCCTAGTGAGAGTTTTTCCTAATATCCAACCTAAACTTCCCTTGCTGCAACTTGAGACCTTTGCTTCTTGTTCTGTCATCTGCCACCACTGAAAATAGTCCAGCTCCATCGTCTTTGGAACTACCCTTCTGGTAGTTAAAGGCTGCTGTCAAATTCCCCCTCAGTCTTTTCTTCTCTAATTAAATAAAACCCAGTTTCCTCAGCCTCTCCTCATAAGTCATATGCGCCAGCCCCTGAACCATTTTTTGTTGTGCTCCACTGGACTCTTTCCAACTTGTCCACCTCCTTTCTATAGTGGAAGTCCCAAAGCTAGACACAGTATTCCAGATGTGGCCTCACCAGTGCAGAATACAGGGGAATAATTACTTCTCTCGATGTGCTGGCAATGCTCCTACAAAGGCAGCCCAGCATGCCGTTAGCCTTCTTGGCAACAAGGGCACACTGCTGACTCATATCCATCTTACTGTCTACTCTAACTTGCAGGTCCTTTTCTGCAGAGCTACTGCTTAGCCAGTCAGTCCCCAGGCTGTAGCGAATCTGAGATTGGATCCAGGGCCCTGACAAAGTTAGGATCTGACAGCCCAGGGGCTGGGGGACCCATCCCTTGTGTGGGGGACCAGAAAGTAGCACTGGTAAGCCTGAGAATTTGGAGTGCCAAAAGACTTCTGGCAGTGTCAGCTTTGATTTATTTGAGGAGCCGTGTGTATGGATCATATCCAGGCTCCTGTGTAATCCTAATCCACCCATGAAAGAGATGATTAATAGCATTCTCAAGGTGGTGTTTGCTGCAAATCTGATGCAAGGTTATACAGGGTAACCAGAAGCACAGCAACCAGTGACCTAGAATGACTGCACTGGAGAATGGGCATTAATCCCATTTTTGGTAGGTTAGTAATGATACCAGATTAGTTTCCAAATAGGCTTTTACATCTCACTGACATCTGAAACAACAAAACCCTAGGACAACCTGTCAGCATGCCGGAATGACAGGAGATCCTGAATGGGTACCTACTAATAGATATTGCATATGGTGCAGTGACACTAGTTTGGGATAGCAATATGGCATGAAGGGAATTGTTTTCTGTCCCTGTAATATGAACACACTGTCCCTTCCAAATGACAACAGGGCAATGGGAACGGAGGCTATACAAGAGCAGCCAGGTTATGTGTTACTGTTTGTTGCAACTTCAGACGTAGACTCAGCTTTATCATAGCTATTAGAAATGAAGGCAGGGTAGATTTGCACCTGATTGAGTTAATTTATAAGGTACCTGCCTTCTACCTGACTCCAGGCTAACACAGCTAACTACCTATCTCTATAAGAAATTAACCCAAACTTAGCCACTTGTATCACGTTCCAGATCAAAACATGCCTACATTCAGGTTGGTTCCTGGAGCTTGGGTTGCTTTATGATGCAGATAGGGAGAAGCTGTCAAGCTCATGGAAGGACTTTCCGAAGTCTTAGGGACTTGTGGCTCAGTACATTACCATATTTTCTTGCATACCCCCTACCCCACAAAATAAGACATACTTTGTTTTGGGAAGGCTGAATGACAAAAAAAAAAAAAGATTTTTCCAGTCATGCCTGAAAGTTGACTGCAGGGGATCCTGACCTTAGTGGTTGTATCTGTGGGAGGGTTAATGCTGTAGCTCTGATCCTGAAGTGTGAATGCCAAACCCTCCCCAGTTGAGGCTGGGAGAGGGTGAAACACTGCAGCCATCTTACAGCAGTGTTTCCCTGTTTCTACTACAGCATAGAAAAGTCAAGTTCCCCGCTTAAGACATGAACTTCAATTTGGAAGGCGGGTTTCTATGAAAGAGGTGCATGTGTTATTTTAGTAATTGTATTAGTTTGGCCCCTAACAGAGAGGGAGCCACAAAAGTCATATCTGGACTGGAACTTTACCAAAGTTTGGACATGTTCCAGTCAGGTTCATCTCCAATTTCCATGGAATAAGGCTCCACACCAGTCGCAGGAGGAAGCTAGGGCAGGATGGCACCTTGGAGACTGACTGGTTCAAAGAAGCAACAGTCTACAACATCAGATGCTAGGAATGGACAGGACACAAAAAAAAATTGTGTGCAGTCCTGGGCAGGAACTATCCATAAGGGGAGAGGGATGTTTCTACCTATAACTGAGGTATGTGTCACACAGAAGCAGGCATGCAGAACATTTTGTTTCAGGGATGGGTCACAATAGGCTCAGAAAACTAAGAGCTGAATCTATTTGCAGATTCAAAAACATTTGCTTCTGTTTAAAAAAAAAAAAAGCATAGTGGACCTCTGCACATCCTGGTTTCAACCACGAGAAATAAAAACTGTCATGGCATAGGTGTCCACACAGTCTTTCCATCCTACATAGAAATACCAGAAAACTTCTGAGAAATCCTAGTGTGATTGATTCCCAAACACATTCAAGAACACAGCTTGGGGGCCTCAGCTTATTCCCATTGACTACAGTAAAGCCGGGCTTATGATATGCAAACCAATGAGAAATGGATAAGGCGAATAACCATCTCAATAATCATTATTTTATCATATTTGATGGTAGTCCTTGTGAATCCCAGCAGAAGTTCAGAACCCACCATACAAACAGGACAAAAAGGCAGTATCTGCCCTAGAGTTCTTGCAAATAAGTCATCTTAGCCAAAAGCAAACTCATTGCAAACCTTTTGGGGTTTACCCCTCATGACAGCAAATTACTATAGGACTGGTGTGGTGAGGGGGAGGGGAACACCCCTCCAGGACTGTCATGCTTTACACTTGAAAAATCTGCTTGTGGTCTAAATAAGGGTAAGAATTCCCTTCTCCCAACCTTGCCAACATGCCTTCCAATTCATATGGAAGGCTTTTGGGGGCTGTGTTGTTATGCATTTCTACTGTATCTAGCACAATGGCATGTTAATTTGTGACAGGTCTCTTAGTCACAATGGCAACAATAATAAATAATAAACCCTGTCCTGAGGCACTCAGGGTTAACAGTCCTTTGGGTTTGCCTAGATGTTATTTTTACATGGTCTTTTACACTCCTCTCCCATGCAACCTCCTTACCTCATGTTCTCTCCTCATCCCAGGAGCTGGTGCAGATTTTGTCATGCTTGGGGGGATGTTTGCAGGCCATGATCAATGTGCTGGAGAGATCATGGAAAAAAATGGAAGGAAGGTGAAGCTGTTCTACGGGATGAGCTCGGATACAGCTATGAAGAAGCATTCAGGAGGAGTTGCTGAATACAGGTATGAGTTACACTCAGTTTGCTATGAATCCAAACCACCAAATTCATACCTGGAGTTGAACTTTTCAAAGTGCCTCCCCATTACAATCTGAACCATCTTCCAGACACGTTACTACACATGGACTCGACTTCCAGAGCTATGTGTTTCTACACTCTCAGGTTCTGTGTAGCATGGACAGTTGCTGTTCCCAGCTCTGAATCTCTGAGGCACATCCTATGTCTGTCACCCGTGCTGGGTACAGAACCATATAGGATAGCTGAACCCTTGCCAGAACCAGCCCTACAGCCCCTCTGAGCCCCCAGTTACTTTGCTGCATTCCCCCCAGCATCCTACTGCCTGTGGAGGTCTAGTGTTCAGATGAACAACGCGTCAGGAAGACAAAGACTACAGGCTTAGCAAAGGGGATTTCAGGGGCTCCAGTGGCAACCCCATCTCATTTACTTTTATGTAAAGGGTCAGTCTAAGTCAATAGCTATGCCCATTTTTCCAGTAGGGAAAACTTACTCAATATTGATGTTCTTTGATGGCACTGTCAGTTTCTTAGACCTGGGGTACATTTATGCTACAGACTACAGTATCGTGTAGAGATACACAAGCTAGCTGTAAACAAGATGGCTCAGATAACAAGCAGCTTGGCTGCAGCAACACAAAATGGATAATCTGATCTACAGAGAAGGCTGCAGTTGGACATGAAAGTTGTGCGCCCAACTCACAGTTACTATACAAAGAAAAACAAAACGGGACTTTCGAAACAAAATGGTTTTCACAGTTTAACACAGACATACCCAGTCTGTCACAGCCCCTAACACTGCAACAAGCCAAGCTACAACCCACAATGCCAGCTTCCCAGACTTTGGTCCAGACCTGAATTTGGCTCCATCTCCACTGCGAACACTTGCTATTGCGCTTATTTCAAGATTAGAAGACCGCCATAAAAGCATACATAGCATTGTATAAAACAAAGCTGAGACAGGGTCCCTGCCCCTAATTGTTTGCATAAACTAGCTTTGGTCTAAGTTACCCAAGCTCTTCAGCAGGGGTTGTTGGGGTGCCACAGCATGCCTGTAATGATGACTGAAAAACATTTGAGGCTAGCAGTAGATAGTTCTGGGGGCAAACCCAGGCAGAGGCTTGATCTGGCACTTTTGCCCCCTGATTTGACCGAACTGCAGCAGTTTTTGCATGGAACCACTTTTGCATGGAACCACTTTGAGAGAAAGGCACCTTTAGGTTGGAGGAATCAGGCGCAGAAGAGATCTAAAGAAAAATGTGCAGCAGTGTTTGGCAGGTTTCCAACTAAGTAGCCTGTCCCGAGTGTTGGATTCTGCCCAAGAAGATAGTAATTGCTTTCCAAATAAGAACATGGAAAGCATGCTATAGACAAAGGAAACAAGCTGTATAACTGCAGGTAATCTAGCTAGGAGCCCCTCCAGTTGGTATGATGGGGAGACCAAGGTGCCTGCAAGAGATTAGGCCTTTGCTTGATACCCTGAAGATAGGGCAATGCTTAGAGGAGCCCTTGAGACAAATTACAGCTCTACTTCCCCCTGCTCCTCAGCGAGGGTAGAGTGCTTTGTCTGCACAGCATATAGTATACTTTCTCATTGTGCCTGCCCTCCTGTTACAGGGATCCAGGAGCCTTCTTCATCACATCCTCTAAGGCTAGTCTCAGAAGCAAGCCTCTAATCAACACATTGACTGGTATCAGGGAAGACTCAAATCCCTCTGTTTCTCCTGTACAGCCACATTAGAGCCAGGCGTGGGGATCATTACAATGAGCAGAGTTTATTTTCAGCCAACCACTGCACAGCCACGTGTTGGACAAGCTGGACCGTAGCACCCGGCAGGCATCCTGCATGCCTGCTTGAGTTGTCAGTCACTCAATCAGGGCTCATCAGCCAGTCCCAAGAGCCTACTTGTTTGTTTCTTTCCATGATGCTGCTTGGCATCGAGGCATCTGGAACTAACTGTCAGAGTGAAGGGGACTAGCAATTAGCTCATTGCTTAAAAATGGCAGCTGCGTGTTACTCAGAGGCACTGGCTTCCTTTCATCTAACTAGCTGTCACCAACTGGACTTCTACCCCAGTTGGTAGTTGTGTTTTAAGTCAGTGACTGGAACGCGTAGGCAGCAAGGCAGATCTAATACATGACACCATTGAGCATCACCAGGCTTTAATGAACCACAGGACAGGTGACAGCCTCAGTGAGCCCAGTATTTTGGAGTAACTTCTGTAGCAGGCACTGTTGAGCTCATGAAAGTTGGGGGAAATGGCCCAAAAGCAAAGCCAGCCACAGCACTGATGCTTCAGTGGTAACGGGATCAAATTGTGCTCTGGAGTAGGAGACTTAAAAACAGGGTGGCATCTGACTGCAAGCAACTGAAGACACATTAGACAGTACATTAGACCGTGCCCCAGTGCAGGGATAAAGAGTGCCGAAGAGAGGAGCCATATATAACTATGTAAAAATGCCTCCCCCTTCCCTGCAGCTGTCAACTGATTTTTCCAGAAGTGCAAGAGTGCAAGGTATCCATAGGAGTTGTCCAAGCTGTTGGGAGGCACCTCTGAAAAAATCAGGCTGCTCACTGAACATGCCTGTGAATTCAACAGGCTAACTTTATGCCCTAAAAATGGAATATTGTGGCTTAGGAACCTGATCCTGTGGCCAGTTTGAAATTAGATTTGAAAACAGGAGAGACAGGTAAGGCAGGGGGATTTTAGCACGAAATAAGGTCAGGAGAGCGTTTTGTTATGTACTTGCCAGGTTCACCCCATGTCATAGCTATAAAATCTGTGTCTCCAGTTTCATTATTTATAATATATAATCCCCCTATATCTATGTGTATATAACAGCTATATGCAATATTTATATATCAGCCATTTTGAGGTTTTATTTCTGTAATTTTAAATCAGGAATAAGGGGCAAGGATACACATTTCAGACACTAACAACCACTGCAAAAACCAAACAAAAAAGCATTGTGTTATTTTAGTAGTGTCAAAAATAGCATTGTACGGAAGAGATAAACATATCAGGAAATACTCATGGAAACTGTTCCAGTTCTTGTACAGGAGAAAAGCTGTAAGGAGAGGGTGAGGGAGCTCACAGTCATCCTTGTTGAGAGCTGTGCCCTTACAGCTGGTTTGATTTTGCTAGTTGTATGGCATTTTCAAGAGTGATGGGTCGCTTAGTAATTCACAGGCGTTACTGTGAAGCACCTTGTAGCTTCTCCGAACTTTACAGGGACAGTGGGATAGAGCCCAGGACTAGATTCACAAGAGGACTTAACATGTCTTACTGCCCTTTTTTATGTTTACTCCCAGTCTTTAGATTCCTAAAACATGGCTGCTTAATCCTAGAATTGCCTACGGTTTCTGCTCATAAAATCCCCTAGATGATGTAATATACGCTTTTGGTCATGCCCAGGACCAACGGCAGGGCAGTTTGGTATCTTGTTCATGTCTCAGCTCTGTTGCAATCTGGAATCCAGGTTTTCCTCTCTCCTCTCTGACTCTGCAAGGTCCAAACTGGCAGGCATTCTCAAAGCACTTTCGCCTGATTGAGCCCTGTGGTTCTAGCTCCTTTACCATAGATTTCCTAGACGTTAGGGCTGGAAGGGACCTTGAAGATCATCAAGTCCAGCCCCCTGTCCCAGGGGCAGGAAGTCAGCTGGGGTCAAAGGATCCCAGCAAGATAAGCATCCTGTATACCAGTAGCCTAGCGGGTAGTAGAAGACCCAGGTTCAGGTTCCTCCTTGGCTTAAGGGGATTTGAACCCACCTCTCCCACTTATTGGGCAAAGGGGAAGGCACCATCTCCTTCTCCCAATGTGTTTTGTGAGACAGGCTGTCTTGGGCACCTGACTCCTGTGAAGACTTACAGCTGTAACTCCTGAGAGAAAAGAGTTGTCCACGGTTGGGTGACTACCTTCTTTGAGGGATGGGGCTTAACTCTCATCTCTCTCCTCACCATTTCCTGCTGGCAAGCTGAGGTGGCGTCTCACTCAGCATGCTAGCCTTTGTGGATCTCATCCTCAGACACCTGTCTTTCCCCACATGCTGTATAGGGACCCTGGGCACTTCACCTAGGCCTGTAGATTCCACTAGGTGACATGAGTTACCTTTTGCAATGCTCTGCATATGCTCTTTTGGGGATCACGTGCTCAGAGCCTCCTGCATCAGAATCCCAGCATTTGAGCTGAAGGAAAATCCCTGCTGGCAGTATAGGGCCCATGACTCACAATGGAATATTAGTTCTACCCAGTACAGAGCAGCAGTGCGTAAATACACTAGCCAGGTCATTACACTGTATATTTAAGAGCTGCAAAGACTCTTAAGTATATAGTATTACTCATCAGCTGCAGGGAGATTCATTACAATTCCTCAGTGAGATGGTGGCACATTAACAGCCCCCCTTTACTGCCACACCAAGGTTTTGACCTCCCATTTAAAGCAGCAAAAAGAAATTTAGCCAGTCTCTTATTGAAGCCCTGCCACACCAGCTACTGCTGCTATTATTAATGGTTTACAAAGGCTTTGCTAACCAAGCTTCTGAAGCAGGCATGCTCTGCCTTGCATTATCCCGCTAGGGATTTAAATAATGCCAGATTTAACACCGTGACAAATTCATGATCCTTGACCTCAGCTTGTAGTGTGAAGGGGAGGGGGCAGAAACCCACCCAAGCCCCTATCAGATGTTAGAGTACCATATAAAAGACACTGAATCCTGCAGTCCCTGGCTGGGGTTTAATGTGCTGTGTAACAAACTGCAACTCACTCATTTTTTGAGATTTTGGATACAACCAGAGCTTCCCAACTACTGGAAAAGACTAGATCCCATTTCCAGCAGTCACAGGCCAACCTGTCTTCTTCCATCCCTCTTTTCCAGTTGTTGATTTATGTGGCAGAGTGATCTGATTCCTAGAAGCACAATGGTCAAATGACATTCTGGATATTTCCTAATATGAGGAACTGTAATGGGAGGGCTAGAGATGCAGGAGGAAGAAGAGCACTGAAAATCACCAGAGCAGTTTCTCCCATGGCGTAACCCTACTATGAGCTACTGCTGTCAAGGAAGTGCACTGATCACAGTGTCCCTGTCACTGTGTATAAAGTGCATCTCCTACTTGTCTTGATGAATGGAGCTGACACAAGCATATTAGCTTCAACAGAACTGCTTTGTGGTGGGATTACTCACCTGGGAAAGCCCTACTAAGGGAAAAGGAGTGCATGGTCAAGTTAGTAGAGGATCTTAATCTATTTCTGTTGTATAATGATCTACGTGCACCTCTGGTGTCATATAAGTAAGCAGTAAAGGCCCAGGTTTTCAGCTGGTGTAAAGGACTGCAGTGGAGCTATGCTTATTTAGACACAGATATATTTTTAAGCATCTTCTGTTGTCAGCCTAGGACCCACTGTCCTTGGGTGACGTGCCTGTTTGTATGTGGGGAAGCTTTGCTTGCATCGGGATAGGAGGAACAGGTTGCTAATGGGCTCAGGCATGGTTTGGCTGGTTGCAATAATTATTTCCTGGGTCAGCTTCGGAACAGTGCATTTCATAGAATCATCATAGTATCATAGAGAACTAGGGCTGGAAGGGACCTCCAGTCCAAACCCTGCCTGAGGCAGGATCATCCCTATCCAAATCATGCTATACAGATCAATAATTTAAGCCAGGGGTAGGCAACATTTTTTGGCTGGAGTGCCGAAAAACCCACAATGTCTACCTTGGAAGGTGCCGGACTGCTGACATGCTGGAGTCTGGAGCAGCTGTTTGCAGCCTCCCGGCAGCAGCCAGTCCATGGAGCCTGGGCTGCTTGCAGCAGGGATTGCAGCCTCCCAGCCGCCTGCTGGGAGCAGCCTGGGCTCTGTCACTGGCAGCAGCTGCTTAGAGCCTGGTTGACGGTGGTGTGCCAAGCAAAATGGCCTTGCGTGCCATGCTCGGCATATGTGCTGGGGGTTGCTGACCCCTGATCTAAGCTGTTTTTAAAACTACTGTCAACCCTGACACAACACTGTAACCCACCACAGGTAAAGTAAGGGAGCTGCCATTTGAGTACCTTAAAAAAAAGCAATACGGGGACAGGCAGCATAAAAGTTCTTTTAATTTGAAAAAATACCTTCTCCGTCACTTCCAGTGTGGAAAGCAGTAACGTGTCTCTGTTTTCAGGGCTTCGGAAGGCAAGACCGTGGAAGTGCCTTACAGAGGGGATGTGGAAAACACCATTCTGGACATCCTGGGCGGGCTGCGCTCCACTTGCACGTACGTGGGAGCTGCCAAGCTCAAAGAGCTATCCCGAAGGACAACTTTTATCCGAGTCACCCAGCAGCATAACCAGGTGTTTTCTTAGCCATGGACTGGGGGGACTGTGCAGTAGTCCTGTCACCTCTCCTTTTTCTCTTCTACCAGGTTTTTTATTACAGCTTTGCAGTGGCAAATTCCCCAGGGCTGTGGAATTGGCTGGAGGGGAGGTGGGGCGGGGTAATTGCTGCTGTAGGTAGGATTGAAGAGGAGAAGGGTGTGCCTTCAGACACAGCACCATACAGATTTTTTGGTTCAAGATGCAATAGCCTCATCTTTTAAAGCCATGTCTATTGTTTTGTTTTGTTTTACTTTAGGTTCTCCCTGCCCCTTCCCCTTTCATTTTTTCTCCGAAAATAGCTACCAAAGCCTCCATTTGCAAAGGATGAGCTTGTACAGACTAGGTTTGTATTGGTCATACTGGCCACTACAACCAGTGGTACTTGTTTTAAGAACATCCTCCCAACTTTTAATGTTGACTGGCCAAGTTGGCACTGCTACAGCTGTACAGCAGAGAGAAACTGCAGACTGAGAAGGCAGAGGGGTGCAGAGGGTCAGTTTGCATAATCAGAAATTAAAGCCATGCTTCTTGACCATTGAAGTTTGCTGCTGGGGTCCCAGCCCTTGGGGAACAAATTGGAGTGACGGCTCTGTGGACCAGGGTTGCTGCTGCATTTTCACTGTGATGTTAAAGACACTGGATCTATAGCACTGTTGGTTCATGTGCCTTTCGGGGGTTTTTTCTTTAAATCAACATCTTCAGATTTGCCTCTTCAGATGCTGGCGTGTTCTTGCTTTACCCTTACCTCCAAGGGAAGCATTTAAAAATATATATAATTTAAGTGTGCCTTTTTTGTTTGACACATGCAGTCATTACATTCTTCGGGCCTGCCTCTGCAAACAAGTTATTTTAAGGTATAGAAACCTTCCCAGTAAGTGAGCCCAGGGAGCTGGCTTCTTCACAGCCTCATGCAGGACTTTGTGCAGTGACTTAAACCTACACAAATGGACCGGGACTTTGTGCCCACTTATCTACCTGTTGTGCAAGGCTTCTGTGGGTATGTGTACGCCACATTGCTGATGCTCCCAGGAAGGGTTTTCCTTCCCGCCTGCTGCGGCTTGTAGCATCAAACCCAGAAACATGCCAGGGAAGTAACTCTTGGACATCCCTCCAAGAGCTGCAGTCGTGACCCATTTCCTTGAGAACAGCTTTCCCACCTCATTTCCAAGCTTGATATGCATGTGCAGGTGGGAGTAGCAGGCAGGCTGTGCTCAAGGGTGGCCTTCTCTAAGCACTGCAGAGACATGGTGTAGAAGTGTCCCCTGCATCATGCTGGAGTGGCCGAATTCACTTCTTTATTACACTGCTGCCACTCTTTGAAAGGCACTGGCCTAATTAAGAGCAAAAATTGGCCCCGAGCAGAATCACAAAAGACTTAATTGCAAGAAGCCAGTAGTCTGATCCTGAGCAAAAGCAGGTGCTATGAAGGCAATAATGAATATTTTAGACTCTGGATAACACTCTAATAAACTGTAATGGTATGCTAATTAATTGATAAATCTCAATGAAAGTTCTTTTGAAGTACACATTGCCTCCACACAAATACCACAGTAGTTCATTATGATAAATGTTATTAGAGTGGATACCAATGAATTAATAATAACCAGCCACTTATTTTAAAGACTCACTGAGATAACAATACAAATGGAAACTGAAGTAACTTCAGAGCCTTTTCCCCCTCCTGTAAGTACCTGTGGAAAGATAGAGGCCTCCTTTGAAAAGCAAAACTGTGGAAAAGGAGCATAGGGGAAAACAAATGGAATTAATCTGGCAATTCTTTATTGTTTCAAATTAAAAAAGGAGTCTGTACAAGTGAGCGTGCTAAGGAACACATTTCATCCACAAGCTGGACCCTGTTGATTGTAATTTGGTTTTGCATAGTAGAAAAAGCATGAAAGATCTTTCCAAGAGACTGAAGGCAGGTGCTTTACAAAAATATTTTAAAGTTTGTGGGCCTGTTTTTCATTTAATTGCTCTGCTCAAGGCTGGTAAAGGGTCCTTAACATGGGGATGTTTTTCATTGACTTGAAGGTCCATTCACACTGCCAGAATGGTGTTAAGGTACTTAAGTGTGAATGATACTCAGGTCCTATAAATAAAATACCCAATATTAGTTCCCTCTGACATTTCCTTTTCTATCAGAGCTGGAGGAACCATAGAAAGGCAGATGAATGGCTTCATTACTATAAATAAAACTGCTGTGGGCCAAATGCAGTTCTCATTTGTGCAGATGTAAACCCCAGCGTAATGCTACTAAAATAAGTGACATCACTCGGAATTGACATGGGTATAACTAAAGGCAGAATATGTTCCCCCCTTCATGCCTCATGTAAAGGTACTTGCATAATGGTAAAGCAAAACCACTGTGAGGCATAAGGATGTGTTGCATGTATATCCATATTTCCATTCTACTGCTTTCACACTCGGGAAGTGCAGCAGTCCACTAGACTCTCACTTGTTGCTGTTGCTTCTGTACTTTTTCTGGCTACCTTCATCAATGAAATTTAAAAGAACTAAACAGTTTGTAATTTTTTTCAGCAATCACTCATTTAAAAAATAGCTGCTTACTATACATTTTAGAACAGCTTTCCAAAGCCATGCTGAACTGCCTGTGGCCTGGCTCTTCTCCAAACAGGTTTCAAGTGGGAGATATGTTCCACTCACTTCAGCCTCATGTTTGCAAAGGTGTAAACCAGTAGTTCTCAACCTCTTTTTTCCACAACCAGCTGCTGGGAGTGGAGTGCGGCGGTGGCGGTGGCCTGGGGGTGGGGGAGCTCCCAGCAGACAGTGTGACTTGTCTTTTGTGTGCAGTGCCACTAGCACTGCCCCCGCAACCCTTGTTTGGGTCATGACCTGGGGTTGGGAACTGCTGGTGTAAACAAAGGCTAGGGGAGAATTAAGTCCTATATTTTTTTAGAAGCCAGTTGTATCCTACAGGTTGTAGATTGCCATGGAATTACTTGGAGTCAATGATATCACCTTGAATTTTTTTTCATGGCATACTTTACTGACTTTTGGATGTGCACTGGTTTCCATGGCAAGAGACATAAGCAACAGATGGCAGGCAGCCCCAAAGAGGTTAACTGGCTACATCTCATCCTGTGATATTATACCAGTTGCCTGTCAAGTGGAAACCTTCAGTGAATCAACTGCCTTCATTTAGGGTGCCTCTTATGAATATATGTGCACGCACACATACACATTTCCAAGTGGAACAAAGAAATTAGCGTGAGCCTCACTGTGGGACCACTTCTGTGAAGAGATAGGTCCCTTCAACCTCCCTAGCATCCAGCCCCTCCTCCCCCCACTCAAGTTAGAAGCCAGTCCTCATTGACTTAAGTAGTACTTCACCCCGCAGGATTAGACCACCCAAAAAAGACTGTATTAGAACTGCTCACAAACTCATGTACCATTCATAGAGCTACCTCACCTCACCACCTCTCCATTTCCTAGTGTCCTTCTGCAGGGAATGTCTTTGCGATGCCTTATTGCTGTGCTGCTATGCATGAATGGCTATCATTCAGCTTCCAAAAAACGAATACCCGGCACTTTGCAGGTGTCCTAAGCAGTAGCTGTCCCTTGAATTGGGCCAAAATCCCACTTGCTTTCCTCACCCTTGCAACTTCACCAAGTTTAAAGCACCAGCACGATGTCACAGTCTGGCTCATGGACTCATCAAGGTGTAGTTAACATGGTACATTCCTATAAAAAGAAAGGTGGATTTCAAGTAGTTAATATATTTGTGTTAGCAGCTTTGGTCAGCATAGAATACATTTAAAGCTGAAGCATAAGCACCTCTGCTTCTTCCATTGCAGCTGTGACAGTAAGTCACAGTAAGGCCAGGAAGTAGTCTGTAGGCTGCAAGGCCTACCTCACAGCCCCTAGGGGTTGCATGCAGCCAATTCGAAGGATATGGTCCATCAGCATACTGAGCTACCCGGTGACCGAGCCCACAGTAACCCTAGGGTTATGCCAGTAGGCACGTCATGTTTGACATGGTTCTCGCACTAAGTGCTGGATTTAACCCACTTTGTTGTCAGGGATTATCAGCAGGGACAGGTCTAGTACAGCTGTAGCTTGGGAGAAGTTTTGGTGCAAGGAATATGCCTGCTCAGTCATTTCCTCAGTTCTGTCAGGGATGGGACAAGTAAGAGCATTCTCTGTCCTCCCCAAGATAAATCCTGAAACCGCAACTGGATATGTTTTTATCCGTGGGCACTTGCTTATGATCTCAGAACACCTGCTTAGCCTAATTCCCTTGCTTTCCCAACCATTTTGCCTTGGTCTAGCCCCGTGGACTTCTGTAGTCACTCCTGTCTGTTGCCAGTGTAAGTGCTCAATCAGCCCCTTCCCCTTGCCTCTGACACCCTGGTAAACCAAATCCTGTGCTCTTGAAGCAAGTGGGAATTTGGCAACTCGCTTCAGAGTGCACAGGATTTGGCCTTCCTTGTGTAGAAGGGGAAAATAAGGCCTAGGAGTAATTGTTTGCTTGCACCTACATACTTCTATGGCCAGCCAGCTGTGAAAGGTGCTTGTTTGCCTTGTTTGGAAGTGATGTGTTTTGGGGTTTGTTTGTTTTTTTGAGGTTGATTAGTTAAGTGTTTTGAATTTGTTGTGGTACTACCTGTCACGTGACTTTTGTGCCAGAAGTGTCCTAGTCAATACTGTCCGATGTCAACACAGTTTAATTATGTCTCCTCTTAGACGTCATTCTTTTTTGAATACATCCACACATTTAGGCCTGTCCTCTGGTTGTGACTCCACAGCGTCAACCGATACACTGCTTACCTGGATAAAGCTGCCAAACGTAAATAATTCAGAAGCCAACATTCCTTTGTGAAATGTAATGTCTGTGATAATCTTAAAAGACCACACGTACTCAGTCAAGCAGCATGAATGGACTTTAAACGTTTTCATGCCTCCTGTAGGCCATCACTGAGATGATTGTGTCAGATACCGTCTTTCTCCATTTGTAGCAAAGCCATGTGCAGAATGCATTCTGTCTCAAAGAGCTTGCATGTTTAAAGTGATCATTTGTTGTATACTGGCTGTTCTGTTATGAAATAAACCACTGTTGGTCCAGAAAGGGTTATGTGCTGTAAAGGGAATGTATAAACCTGTGTGTATCATATATTATGGATAAAAGCAAACTCTATAAAAACTTATTGCTGGGGTTAAAACTTGAAGGGAGAAAAATTAAATGGATAAATTGCTGTTTCATAGGAAAACTGTCTCTCTTGCTTTCTTAACTCATAAAGACAAAGGCACAGGTTTGCAATTGGCACTGTTATTTTATTAGTACGAGTATACTGAAACAATAAACTTGTACTGGTATACAGACAATTTCTTTAAAACAATTTTGTTCAAATTTTGAATCAAACATTGTTTTATTATAATAATGAAATAATTTCTACCTAGAAAACCTGCAAGCACCATCAAAGAAAGGGACCATAAAATTCAATAAACAGACGCGAGTGTATCCTACAAATAGACACACCACCATTAGAAAATAGAATATGAATTCTTCCATTTTTTTAATATTTGTTTTAAAAAAGCTAGTGCAAGTACAATATTTTACACTGGAATTACAGAGAGTATGCACGCATATGGAAAAAAGTTCTCCTGTCACAATAAAAGCTCTTAACTATGTCTGTATGCACTTAAAACTTTCTCCTCTTTTCAATAAGGTGCAAAACATTCCCTCCCTAGCTTGTTTGTACTGGCCATGTCATCTCAACTTCTCACCAACACAAAGCTGCATTATCCCTTTTACTCAGCCTACACTAGGCACAACACTGGAAGTGTGATTTGCAGCACCCCTCGGTAGAAACACCGAACAATGAAAATCTTGAAGACTCTTAAATGGAGAATGGCTTAAGCCTACCTCTGAGAGGACTCTCCTTGAGGGCCTTTGTGAACTTGCCAGTCTGAGGTGGCTGGCTGTCAAGACCTGTGACATAGCTAGTACAAAATTATTTTCAGTAGATCACATGAACTGAAGAGGTTAGGAAATCCCCTTTATTTAAACACTGCAGAGAAAACAGTGTTCGCAACATTAATATATTATTTTAAAATAAAAAAGACAAAGCAAAAATACATACATTAGTGAGTTTCAGCATGAGCTGACTGTCTGTGAAAAGCTATACCTGTGCTCTAAGAGATTAGTAGCTTTGCTAGGTAGCCAGTCTAAAGGCCAAATAGAAGACATGAATTCAGCCACTTGCAGCCATTCTGGGCCCATTTTTGTCCTTCCTTACTTAAATTCATTGCCTGCTGACTTCCAAGGGAGTTGCATGTGTATATACAAAAGCAAAATCACTGGGTCCTTTAGAGCAAATGCCTAAGGCCAGGCCTTCACACAGTGCACACTGGCAGAGCTGCAACAGCTGCCAAACCAATGGACCCACACCCGCTTTATATCCATTGAAGATGTGGCCCTTAATGTTTTAGCTTGTCAACCACCAAGTAGTACAGCAATAACAGCTTCCAGGAGTCACTAAAGATGAGTGCGGACAACACTTCCAATGCACGCCTACTGCACGGTCAAGGGAAAGGGTGCAGGAGCTTTGACCACTCAAAATAGAAACGAATGAATGAACAAACAAAAACTAAAATGAAATCAACCCCACAATCTTAGATGAAGCCTCCAATCAATTCTCCATGGAAGACTTAAGTCCTTTAAGATGATGACGAGAAAAAGCTACAGAAATCTGAGAGACTGTTATTGTGGAAATACTACCTCTTGGCTGAATTCACTTCATTTCCAGACAACTGGACAATTGGGGCCATTTCTCCGAGCATTGAGGGGTCGTTTTAACATGGTGATTATTCCCACCCCCCTTTCCCTCTCCCTTCACAGGAGTTTCAGATCTGAACCTTGGGTTACCTTGGATTGGCGGCACGGGGAGGGATACAAGGGTTCTGAACCTCTAAACTGTGTTTTCCCCTGCTGTGTTTAGGCTTCCAGCTATCCAAGTCATTCTTTGGACAAGGGAAGGCCCCTTTCCTCAGAAACTGCTCCTGGATTCTTTCCTTTTGGCTTGTTAATAATATTGATGTCTAACTCAAATGAGGCCATGGCTGGAACAACTAAAATTCATGTCTTTAATCTGCTCCATTAAAATGAGGTGTGTAGAGGTGTTACAAGAGGCCATGCCGCGTTAGATGGTACAGTTTATTTCTTGGTAGGCTAGGATCCCTTGTTATGAACACTTCTTGTTCAGGATTAGGTTCTTTGGGTTCTTTTGGAACAGGAAGTGCTGCAAGTGTAGAGCATCATCCCAGAGGGAGCAAAGAAATGACAATGGCTTCAGAATCTAAATTAAGCAGGGTGCTCTAAAATATATTTTCAGCACAGGGACAACCAGTGTGAAACATTACCCCCTTCCCCAGAAGTGGGACCCATGTCACATGAACAGAAAATTAAGCACAGTTGTTCTTTAAGAGCCTTTTAAGTGATAATTCTTCCTGGCCAGAGCCAATACAAATCAGATCATCTAGACATGACAGTTTCTATATACAAAAAACACATAACTTTCAACCTTTCTCTGCTTTTGTATTTTTTTAAAATTATTTTTTTTTTTTTACAAACAAGGTATGAAACTCACTGTTTCAACAGAGCCATCTCTTTTTCAAACACTGAATGAATCATTCCAACATTCATTTTTCTTTTGTGCAATTTTTAAAACATTACCTGTACTCCTCAATGTGAGTGCTTCAAAAAAGTTTTTTTAAGCTTCTCAAATTAAGTTTACATCAAAAAAATATTCCCACAAGATATAGTGCTACAAGAAAAGATCCTATCAGTAAGGTAACACATCTGAAGCGAGGTCGTCTATGTAAAAGAAATTGAACTCTGGAGTAGAGGTGTACAACTTGTTTGGAATTTCCCTATCAACAGAAAACGCAACACTGTCCTCAGAAAAAAATCAACTAGACATAATAATCATGTGCTTTTAAAACTTATTTACACACATACATACTTATATACACATGCTCACACTTTTGGGGTGTGTTTGTGTGTGTTGACAAATTCCCTATTTTAAGACTTGGGGTAAAAAAAAAAAAATATAGAAAGAAAACCACTGACCGCACTCTGCTGAATACCAACTTCCCATTACATTTCCCAGACTGCTGGGTAAGCCAGCAGGTTGGACTTTACTAATGCCTGATGCTGACTCTTATGATGAGGTGAGGGAAGGTGAGTGGAAATTACTTTAGAAGAGTGCAGGCCACATTTTGCCGTGTTTGAGTTCACCTGATAATATATATAACAAGAATCCAGTTCCACCCAGGTAGATCTGGAGTTACTACTAAAATCAGTAGGAACTTTCAGTTTATAGCTGTATAACTAAGATCAGAATCTGGCACTAAATGATACAGACCTCATTTCTGCAAGTATCTTTTACATATATTTAACACTGTTAAGTTTCTGAGGGGCCATCAGTGCCTTCAGTGGACCTGCTCAGAAGCCTAGCTACGCCTGTGCATATGGCATTTGCAGAACTGGGGTCTCAGTGTGCATGGCATATTCTACTAGGAATCCAGATCTGAAAGAACAACACCTTTTAAAAACAAAAAATGTGGTGTTTTTGAGCTATATTAGATTTGTTCTCCTTGAAACAGGTATTTCGCTTCCATTTTAGAAACTAAGTATTAGCAGGATTTCATTTTTTCCTTTTCCTTTTTAATATTGGCAACATGCTTAGGTTAAAAAAATATATCCCTGTGCAAAGAATGAATTTCATGATAATCAACAAGTTACGGTTCACATTGAATCTGGTGCTTTGTATTGCAATCTATGTGATACCTAAGAAGTTAATTCACGAGATGCAGGAAATCCAAACTTGTCCTTGAAATTGTACATCCCTACTCCAAAGCAGTAAAAGTGCTGCTTCTGGTCACATCAGTGTACCACACACACGCCAGCCCCATCCCTGAGTAAAAGGTGTGAAAGGTTTCTAAATGTTCCTTGACTTAGGAAAAGAAGAGTAGTGATGTCACTTCCAGGTGCTGAGAAAATGACACAATGATAGGTTTAACAGAGACAAGAGGGTTAAAAATGGAAATAAAAAACCCCAAGACAAAACACACATTTTAAAAGAAAAAAACCCCAACAATGTACAAAATCATAAAATAGTTTAAACATTAATCCAATTTGGGATTCAACGTAAGGACTTGAGGTAAGTGACATCAAACTCCACATTCCCCTTGATGTGGCCCAGACAAACTGAAATGATGCCTAAGTTAAACACTATAAGGAACAGTCGTTTTATATATATAGATATAGATATATATATTTTTAGAAATCCCTATAAAGAGGTTCTTGTTTTTTTTTCTCTTTGCCCTGACTAATTTCTTGGTGATTGTATGCATTTTGTTGTAAACTAAACAGGTCTGGTACAAAAAATAAGAGACAAAAAATATAAAGAAAATGGTTGTCAGTTAATATTGCAAAGTGGACACTGTACAGAGGCACATGGCTAATCCTCTTACACTGGATTCACCTCAGTAGGTCTGTGCCTGCAATTGTTAATTCGCTGGGTGCGTCTACACGAGACACTAACTGTGCAGTAGCCGAATAACACTGCGCAGTAGCCGAATAACACTGCGCAGTAGCGTGCCGGGGAAAACCTGTGCTAATACGCAACTGAGCAGTAGTATTAGGCTACTGCTCAATAAGTGTCGCTTAAAACCTGTGCGTCGGCACTACTGCGCAATAGCAAGTTACTGCATGTTGATTAGGTATTTGGTTAACCAAGTACTAAACTTAATATGCAATAACTAAGGCGCATTAATTAACATGTAGACGCACTCACTGCATGCCAGATGTTGTGAGATTGACTCAAATGAGCAGTCAACAGGGCAACTTGCTGGAGTAAGGATTTACTCATGTCAGTAAGGCATTGTGGGGCTGGGTCTTAAACTGACTGTTTACTGCAACAGACAACGCTCTCTCATGCCCCTAGGTTCACCAACTCTACTGACTGAAACCACCTCTCCTTTACGGTACCCACTGATTGGGGGAGTTCAGCCCTGCACTGGGAGCCAGTATCTGGTTTCTGCATCAGCTAGCAACCTGAGTGCTGCATAGACTTTGTGCGGGGTTTGTATGCGTAAGTGACTTTTACCCTCCCCCATAGCACCTCAGCTCCACGTGCATGGACAGTGAATGCATAACTAGGCATGCATTTGTGAAGTAACCATCACAGGCACAGACTCAAGAGAACACGACACTGGCAATGCTGTCGAAGGCTGCTTTCGTTCATGTAAGAGACTGCATTGTTTGCTCAGGACTGAGCTGCTGGAGTTACATGCCCCTCACGTGCACACTCCCTCTCCCCACCCCTTAAAAACCGGCTATAGCGGGGTGGGGGGAGACATCCATTAAGCCTTTTTCTGAATATTTCAAATTGTGGAGCCCAGGAACATACATTTGAGTGAATCAGTGCCATACAAGGCCCTCAATCTGTGTTTACCCCACCTGTGGATGACAATAAGGATTCCGTTCCCTGGGACAAAGGAGGCATAAGGCCCTAAATAATTGTTTTTGGGGAGGGGTGGAGGAGGAAAAATAAAACAATGAAAGAACAGAACAGGTGAGAGCAGAAGTGGATCTGAGATCTATCTAGCTACCACCACACGGGTGAGTCTAAGTTGGCACGTAAAGTATTGCACATCCTAGAAAAGCAAAAAGCATGAAAAGGGGACAACTATTTGGAAGGACCCAGTCATTTCAGAATTCCTAAGTCTGAAATACAAGCACAGGACTAATACATTCCTATTGCTCCAAATATATATTTTTTAATTTTAGTGTTAGTTGAATAGATTTCGTCAGTTTAATAGTCCCTGCTTCCTTAAATAGCCAAAAAAGGTGTGTGTGGTTTTATTTCAGATTTTCTGAGAATGTGGTGTATTATGAAGATAGTGGTACAAAGGTGAACTCAGTTCGATAATTCTGCCCCACATCTTTCAATTCCTCTTACCTTCAAAGGTTAAAAGAGAACACAAAACAAAACAATACATTGCAAGTGCCCTGAGCAGAGTATATGGAAGATTAAGCAAGTTCTCTGAGCAGAAATGTTGAAAACTAAGCGCTAAGTAAGCAGTATGACTGTGAGAATGAACCTGCTCAGCTATTTGGTAGCTTGCTGAGAGGTTAATAAAATTCAAGGAACTTCAATAAAAGTTTCAAGCTATCTTAAACTTACTTAAATGTTTTTGGTGCACCCCAGACAATGGTATACAAACAATTAGTTCTGGTGTGTATTAAATTTCAAGTAACAAGAGAGCCAAAAGCTGGGGATTTTTCAGATTCTTGGACAAAGGAGTTGAAGTACTGTATTCCAAGGGAGCCTGAAAGCGAGATTTTTTTAAAAAATGTTCATTTTAGGAACTGTGTTTCAAATTAGGAACCTCTATATTTTTTCTCCCTATTAGTACAAGCTTCTTAAAAAGTACTGGAAGGATACAAACTTGACAACAAAACTTGACAAAAGTGAGAATAATGTAAAGGCTTGATCATGGAAGGCCTAATTTCCAGCCCACTGGAACTGATGCAAGTCTTTCCATGCACTGCAGTGGACTTCATCTCAGACCTGAAGTACTTAATACATGCACTGCCCATTGCCTTTAACAGGAGCCCAGGGTGCACCGCACCTCTGAGCCTCCTGCCCTATCTTCATTTCAGATTTCTGGGAACAAAAAAGACTTTTATGTGTGAATCCTCCCTTCCTGTTTTGTACCAAACTCTGAAATCTAGATTGTATTTCAAATGGAAAATAAGTCATTAAAAATAACAAATAACAATAATAATAAAATAATAATAGTTATTTTAAAAAAACAAAACAAAACCTTGCTCATGTATAGAAATGTCTCTTGTGGAAAACTCTCTCGATGAAGCTGAAGAAAAATTCTCAGAGTTGCCCTGCTAGGACCTGATTCTGTGTGGCAGATATGGTAGAAAGACTGAAAATGAACTCTGAAAGGAACATAACTTTATATGATGGCCTACGGCTTAGGCAGGTTAGTAAGTAATTGCTACATTTGTTTATGCTCTGTCAGCCCCTCCCATCCCCACAACATTATTAGGTTAAAAACTGCAGGAATACCACACAAATGATAAACTCAAGATGTGCAAATTGCAAGTTTCCTTAAAGTCCATCTTTTTCAAAAACACTGGACAATAATTTTTTTTTCCTCTTTCCTTTTTCCTTTCTCTTATTCTTTTATTATCTGTCAGCTCACATATGCCTTTAAGTCTTTCTCAAGCATTAAAGTTTAAAAAGTGCCTCCTATTAAGTAGTCCTTTGTGGACAATGACTGTCACATACTAGTTCAATAATTCACATTCATCCCTTTGAAACCACATTAAAACTTTCAACATCTTGCTTGTGAGAAAACTCTACATAGTCGTATGTAGTTACAGTGTTGAAGAGATTTGTTTTTTTTTCCAAATAGATTAAAGTGAGATACAGTACTTATTGAGTGTTAGACCAGGATGCTCAGCAATAAAGTGTGAACAGCATTTTAAGTGCTTAAAGACATTCTATGTTCATCTTCAACATCACGTTCCTTGTGTCACACTGAAATTTGAAAAAAGTGGCACCAGTTGTCCATAGTCATGAACTAAAAACAGTACTAGAGTTAAAGACAAAGATTTGCAACCTAAATGCAAACAATTTATGTCTGTGATCTCAAAGGGGCAGTATGCATCTACCTTGTGGAAGCAAATGTCAATGTCATAACCCAGTCGGTTTGTCTAACACTGCTCAGACACAGGAGGGAGAGCTAGTCAGGAGACCCACAGAATTTTTGGCTTCCCACAATCCTCTGCTAACCCCATGAAGTACATCTTCCAGGCTAGAAAATTCAAAGCTAGAAACTTGCCAGATGTTCTGTTCTGCACTGGCAAGTGGGAAAGAAATGTCTGCGTGGCAGTCGCTCCATGAATACCAATCAGGGCAGTCAGACCCCATGGGGTGTGTGCTTGCATGCGTGTGTGTGTGTATGTGTACATGTGTGTTCATCCCCCTGTGCTCAAAGCTCTATAGTGTGTGTGTGTGCGTGTATATGTATATACGTATGTATGTGTGTGTGTGTATGTGTGTATACAAACACACGCACTATACTGTATATAATAGAGTCGTGAGTACAGGTTGGTTTTATTGTGTAATGTGTCAAAAACTGCCTGATCCTGTTTGATAATCTGTTCTCAGCACCTGCCTTAGGTGAGGGAATCTCCTAATGACCCTGCCACAGAGCTCCAATCCCCTCCTGGGATGGGAAGGCATGGTATGCCTGCAGGGGTCTTAGTCTCTGCTATAGCTCCCTTCTCATCACCTCACAAAAAAAGAAAAGAAAAGAAAAAGAAAAAGAAAAAGAAAAAGAAAAACCTGACCAGCTGGAGCCTGTTCTACACTAGGTGTTAGAAATCAGGAGCCATGACAATACATTCATTTCCACTAAGGGTGCGCGAAGCAGATACTGCCCCTTCCGCAGCTCTCGATAAAACCTAGTCAATGACAAACACTTGTGGAAAAAACATATGCACCACTCTCCTGCATAATACCAGCTGCAACTATAACAACAAGGTTATAACATAAACCTAAAATAAGATGATAACATGTAAATACTGGGTTATTTAGTCTACAGTACAGTAATCTGGATAAAAATGACAAGGGATAGCCTAATTTCCTTTCCCCAACCAGCCTTTACTTTCCTACATTAGATCGACCTTCAATGCAAATCTTAACCTCCTGAGGAATAAAAGAAGGCTTGGGAAGAGTCAATGGTGGT